TTTAAAATAAATTTTTTCATATTTAAATATTTATAAGTTAATTTAAATTTGACTTGAAATTTGATTTGAACTTAACTCAACTCAAATAAATTCAAGTCAAAATTGAGTCGAGTTAAACTCGAGTCGAGTCAAATTGAGTCGAGTTTAAAATTTATATAACTCGAATCAAGTCGAGTTGAAAGATTTTATAAAATAAATTTGACTCGACTCGACTCAAAAAAAACGAGTTGAATAGAGTTGATCTTTAAACTCGACTCGACTTGACTCATTCGGAACTCTAGTTACAATGACTATTTCTAGTAGACTCTATTTTAAGTTTGTATGAAGACAAAAGGTAACTCATTTTAGTGTCAAGAGTAAATTATTCATTTACAATCCCTGATAATCTGCTTTTCTTTTTTTTTCTTAAAATATATTTTCTTCATGTTTTTTATTATTTGATATTTTCTCCTATTTATAATAGCAATCCCAATGGAAAAATATGAAATTAAAGACTTCTCTTTCCAGTAATTAGTCAGAATCTATCATATCATGATAGCATTAGGATTAGCCATACAGTGCTTATTTTATGTAGCTTATTGTGTTGTGATAGCTAGTGATTCAGCAGTTCAGATTATTCTGAAATATGATTGATCTTGAAAAATTTAAAACTAAAATACTTCTGCTTGAGAAGAAAGCTAAGGTATTTATTGACATCGCTTATGTTAGGATTTCTAGTATAAAAATTAGTGTTTCATTTGGAAGATGCTTATTGATATTTTCTTTCAATTAAGTGAAATAACAAGTTCAAGTAACTGAAAATGCTTCACGTCAGATAAACTTAATTTAAAAATTATTTATCAATAAGAGCCAAAAGCGTTGTTATGGGTTGCAGGTTCATGAAGCATCAAAAAGACTGAGATCAAGTGACTCTTCAAAGCTTATGAAATCAAATGACCATCTGAGCTTTTCAAATTATCATCACTTTATTTGAGTCAAGAAACAATTGTGGAACCAATAATCTGTTTTTCATATTTGAACTTGAAAAGGATTCAAACTAGAAGTTATAACCAGCCAAAATTATTTATCGGGTTAATAAACGGTTAAAATATTCGTTAACCGGTTAATTAACCGGTTAAAATTAACTTTAGGCCAGTACTATAAATTTGGCCGGAGTTAGACAACATTTTTGCAATCATAAAATTCTTAATTCTGGCCGGAAATTGCCTTCGGCCGGAGTTAACTTCATCTATTTTAACCGGTTAACATGTTAACCGTTCTAACCGGTTAATTAATCGGTTCCAACCTCTAAAAGAAGGATAGATTAAAAGCACAATTAAAAGCCAGAAAAGCTATTAATTTACAACTTCACACTAAGAGAGGACCAGGGGAAACTGGGATATTTCTAAATATGGGTATGAACGATTGTAATATATAAACTCTGTTGCTTTTTGTAATATATTAATTTCTTTAATAATTCAGGCGAGTTAATGGAATCGTACTTCATGGATTTGCAATACGATGGATTATATCGATCATGGCCTTTTTTTACGACAAGACTTGTGACAGACAAGATCACAATCCCATTAGCTGAATCTGCAATAGGTCATTTAGTTGCTTTGGAGGTAGGCACATTTTTCTTTGAGATTACAATAAGATATTTTGCTTATTGTCCTTACAATAACAGGAACGGGTTGGGAAATTTCGGAGGATTAAAAATATCGAAAACATCCAAACGACAAATCTACAAGTATCTTTTATGCGTAAGCTTCCAAGTGAAGAAATTGATTCATTAAGGTCGGTCCATCTATTTCACTTTATTATCAATTATGTATTTTTTAATAATATATAATAATATCAATATCTAAATACATGGATTATTTTTTTTTAGCATACTTTATCCACAATAATAAAATGACGCATATTTTTTGATGAAACTTCAAAAATGTCACGAAATGGCCGGCATTACGGCATTAAGAAATTAACTGCGTGATAAAGGCGTAACAAATAGAATTTCACCTACCGAAAAATTCTAAGTCCCATAATACTTAGTAAAAATGAAACGCGGAGGGATGTGACACCGGTGACAAAAATATATCACGTGAAATTTCGTGACATTTTTGAGGTAGATCTGAACTTGGTTACTGCGCCCGTAAAGCTCCCTAACATATCATAATAAACATGTATACGTTATGCATCAGAAAATGCATTAGGAAAAATAAATATCACTTATAAATGAGAATGTAATTGACGATTTATGACTAACTCATTTTTTCTCATCAAATTTCAGCCGGAGACTCCTATTAAAATCTCGTGATTTTTTATTTATTTGACTTGTGGATTTATTAATATACAGTCATCCCTCTCTTTAATCAGCATTTATATCTTGAGCAATTCTAATACTTCGAAAAATAAAAATTATTACGCTTGAAATTATGTATATGTAGACTCACTTATGTTTTATATTGATAGATCTTTAATTAATTTAGGTTCCAAATATCTGTATGAAGTTAATCTGGTTACAAACTAATTTGCTCTGAGAAATAGATCCTTGCTATAGATTTGGAATTCGGAAGAGTAATCGTGCGCACAATGCACGCTCTTGGTAACTGATCAGAACCACAACCCTTATGGAATAACCACAACTCTCAAAAGAGCTTATGAGATAACCGCAGTTCTTCAGATCACTCGGTTATTATACTATCTTCTGTGTGAGAATCTAATGAAGAATAACCGCAGTGCCAGACCACATCTCGCAGGACACGATCTGTTTAAGGGAGAGAAAATGGTTATTAATGAAGTTATGAAAGATAGAAACTGTTTAAAATATATCACGTGAACTAGTCACGAGAACATGTTATTACGCGTATTACGCGTTAACTTATTTTCGCTGTTCAATAATTGGACCATTTCAAATTGAACTTTTTTAGACTTTTTCTCTTATTGTTTGTAACAATAAAAAAAAAAAAAATCAAAATTTAACAGTTTGAATAGACTCATAGAGTCGATAAAACAAAATACACAGTGTGAATTTTTTTGCGTACAATGTCTTATCTAACGACAATGGTTTCACAACAAGAAATGGATTTTTTTACTAAGGAGGAAAGACTCACACCAGTGGCAAATTTTAAAATGTTTGACTGTACTTCGAAGTCGACAGGCTTCTCAAAATGGGGCTCCGCTCTTAGCAAGCTCTTAATTATTCATAAAGATGAACCTAAATTTACTGAAATAAAACAAAATTACGAAAAGGGCTATTATAATTCAGCCATTGATGATTATTTTCGACCATCACGGTCCGTTCTTAAGGAGGGTTGTAAAAACTTCAAGATCGAACTTCAGCAGCTGAGCTTTAGTCTGAAAATTTCAAATACAAATATCTAACATTTATTTGTTTGATTAGGTAGAACAGCAGGTGTTTATGAATGGAGAAATGGCGGCTATCGATAATCGTCGTATAAATGAAAAACATCATCAAGATTTCGAAGAGGAAACAGGTGAAAAAGATGCAACCCTGGCTTAGATGAAAAAGATGAGTCCACTATTTGAATACTCATTGATAAATTTTGTGGGTTTATGACCATCAATCACAGAAAAAAACTCGAGGATAATGGTAATGAGGTAAATATACGAATTGAAACTAACTTTGGTTAACATTTAAATTGTGTTGTTTGCCTTTTCTTTTTACCTAATTCGTCTTTGTTTTTTACGCTTTTTATTTTATTTTTATTTTTTAAAAAAAAACATTGAAATGATATTGTAATCTTCGTTTCATTTTCTTCTCTTCTATATTATGCATCTTTTTTGAAGTTCGGTTAAGTTTCTCCTCCACGTTTGTTTAACCCAATACCATCAGGTTCTGAAGAAGACTAGGGATTGATCGGTCCTGGTAAGACCGGTCTTAGACCGGTTAATGGGACCGGTCTTTGCGGTCCTCAGTCCATATTCCGAGGACCTGACCGGACTGGTCCTTTATTTATAGCATATTATTGTAAATTTTGGTTAATACTAAATAAATTGTTTATTTATAAAATATTACAAAATTAGAGTTGGATCGACGGAAATGATGATGAAGAGATTCTCAATTTGGAAACAGATAATGTATATTGTGTTAGAAGCAAGAAAAAATTGTATTCTTCCTTCTGGTGCTGAAATTGGTGATATTTTTTTATAAAAATATAAATTTAAATGTCGAAGATATTAAGGGAAAAAAGAAACCATTATTCAAAAAGCAAATTTAAGATATGGGACTGTCAAATATAATTGATTTATCTGCTAACATGAAAAACTTTTGGTTCAAATTAAAGGATAGGCGATATATAATGAACTCACATGAAGCAACATTGTTGATTCCAGCATTTCCAGATGATGTTAATACATTTATTTCAAACATTGAGAATTTCTTTTCATTGATTTACTTTTTCTTTATTTCATGCTTACAGATTCATTTATACAGATGGTACAAAATGGAAACATTAGCGAATCATACATTAGTTGTTTGGATCATCATGAAAATCTGATCCAAAAAGTTGTTTATTTAAAATTTCAAAAATATATGCTGATTTGTAAGTACTATAAACATTTTGTTGATTTAGCTTTTCACGTTCTGCTATCTAACAATTATTTTGACTATTAGTCAAATGTAACAATTCAAATTTGTTAGACTGTGGAAAGACTGGGCACACTGAAATAACAAGGTAAGTTGGTATATCATTGAAGTGCTTATGGACAATTTTGGAAATAAATTAAAATTGTAGTTATCATATATGAGAGGCTATACTTTATTGTTTCGTACCATACTTACTAAATATGCACATGTTTAAGGGGTGAGTCATTTTGCCCAGAAAGTAAAACAATGACTAAAAATGGCCGGAAGTGATTTAGGTGAATGGGAATTTGCTGCAAATGCATCTGCTGACAAAATAATTCGTGATCGATGCCGTTAACCAATCAATCTTCAACAAATTTCTGTCTCTTAACTTTACAAAAAGCAAGTTGATAAAATTTATGTGCCATTTATTCAAATTGCTGGTACAAATGGTCAATTTTTGTTGAAAAACTTGTTAGAAGGATATTACATTATATTCCCAGGTAGAAAATTTGAATTACCTACAAACATTCAACAGATTGAGAGATTAAAAGAATCTATCATCATCAGATAGTCTCAATATGAATTTTAATAATTATATTTATATATAATACAATTAAAACGGGAAATAAATGATCTCGGTTGAAGATTTAAAAGTAGATGAATGATTTTGTACCTGCATATCATTACAAAATAAATCAAATACACAAACCCTATTGGACATCCAAATAAAATTATTCTTGTTTATTTTTCTATTTGCTTCAATTGAATAAATTCAATTTTTATAAAATACAGATGATAGATTTGATTTACATTATCATCAACATCAAAACCAATTGTTACCAGTGATTAATGAAATATTTTATCCTAAGATATTAGTAAATAGAATGAAATTTATATTAATTATTAATAATAATTAAAATAATTAAATGTGCATGTTCATCCTCAAAAAACAAAAAAAAAAATTTTAAATCAGTTTTTAAATTTTTGTGTCAAAAGAAAATAGAGGTAGAGAATAATAATAACGAAAATTCTTATTAGACAAATTAGATATTATTGGTATTTGCTCGGGAAGGTCCGGATGACTCATCTTAATTACGCGAAAAAAGTTGTTCATATAAAAAAAAAAAAAAGTAACAATGAAACGTATAGCATGTGAATTGATTCAAGCAGTATGATATAATGGCATGAAAGGCTGAAAAAAAGTCGACAAAAAATTTTTACGAACAAATTTCACGTGACGGTTGATCAGTAACTGAATTTTAAATATTTTTTATTTTTTTTTTTAATCAATCAGATGATGCCCGATCTTCATTTTTTTTCTTGCCTTTTGGCCTTTCGATTTACTGTAACAATAATTTTCTTCAAATAGTGTTGTAAATTCCTTTATAGTTGATCATGGAATTAAGGAAATCGGTTGTGTTTGGTTTATGTGCCGTTGCGGTATTTGGTATTGGTTATGCTGTATACTGGGACTATCTGCGACAAACTGACCCAGATTTTCGAAGGAAATTGAGTGAGTATAATATCCTAAAATTCTCATGCTAAACAAAATACAAGTAATGAAACTTCATCGTTTTTCTATAGCAGTTCGATCTTAAAAAGCTTAATTTAATATTGTAAAGAAAAATCATTCATTAATGAATAATTTAATCGCATTATTTATAAAGTTTTCGATCTGAAAACTTTAAATCAAAGTCAATTGTAATATATAAAAAAAAAAAAATGTTTGATAAGGTAATTGACTCTTGCTTTTGAACCTTTTTAGAAAAGAACAGGAAAAAAGCATTAAAGCAAAAAAAGGCAGCTGTAGAAGAATCTAAATCAAAGACCGCTAATTTTATTCGAGGAGCTGTTGAAGAAGTTGCCAAAGAAAATTTTCCGACTGATGTCGGTGTTAAAGAACAATTCTTTATGGAACAAGTGGCCAAGGGTGAAACTTTGTTCGCTGGAGGTGAATTTATATGCTAGCTTAATATTATTGATTTCCTTTAAACTCATTGGAATAGCTAATTTTCTTTTAAAATCTTAGGCGAGTCCGGCTATCTCGATGCTGCTCTCTGCTTCTATAAAGCTTTGAAAGTTTATCCAAATCCAGTAGAATTGATTATGATATATCAAAAAACCATTCCTGAACCCGTTTTCAATTTAGTTTATGATATGATGAGCATTGAGGTAGAAAATCAATTTTCATGAATTAGTCAATTCAAATATATATATATATTTCATTTGTTAATAATGAATAATATAATTTATTATAGGTAAAGAAAAAGCAAGCGGAATATTTCGGGAATTTTCCACCAAAAGAAATGAATGTCAGGATTGAAGAAATCGGTCAAAGTTCGGATGAACAAATACGTCGCGCTCTGATTTCTACAAAAGATTTTGCACCGGGGGATGTCATCTTTATTGAACAAGCTATTGCTTCCGCTTTAGATCCAAGTCTTGAAGTATGTAATTTATAATCTTAATGTGAATTCGTTCGTTCAATTAAGAAACCTGGCAACCATCATACGAGTGTTGGCTACAATTGTTTCAATATTTGCGACATTGAATGATATTGTTTTAATCTTTTTTTTTTTTTATTTATTTATTTATTATTATTATTATTATTATTATTTGATCTCATTAAAATTTATTGTTTCGAAATTATAGAACGGTGAATTTTGCAGTCATTGTCTCAAGGAATTGAATGGAGCAGATTTCAGCGATGAAAGTGATCTATTTGGTGCTGTTTATTGCTCCAAATCATGCCAAGAAAAGGCAATGGCAGAATATGAAACTCTCCTTTTCACAACTAGAGATGATGTTTCTTCTAGTAATGAAGCTAAATTAATGGAATTGGTTAAATCAGGAAGAGTTAAATATCCTTTAATGATTGCTAGATTCTTGGCGAAAATGGTACACGAAGAGACGCAGAAAGTTGCTACTGGCATTGAAGAAGAATATAGCACTTGGGATCATATTGAACGACTAAGATACTTGGCAGTTCAACCTTACGATAAAGAGTCCAATGAGATTACATTGTTGAAAGAACTATTTAAAACGAAGGTACCTGGCATGGAAGAATTCATTACTGAGGAAAGGTATTTAATGCTTAAGGGTAAACTCATGTATAATGCTTATGGGATACATACTGAACGTAATATGGAAACCTTAAAAGAGGTACTTATGATTATTAGTAAACGTAAAAATTTCATCAAGTTTGATTACATATTCATACCTTTGCCTGACCTTAATTTTAGAATTTGGAAGAAACTATGCGTAGCAATCAACCAACCGTTATTGGTGCCGGTTTCTACCGTGTTGCTTCATACCTTGCTCATAGTTGCAGCCCAAATACAGAAGCAAGATTCCCTGATAAGAATAACGTCTTATCTATTGTTGCTACTAAACCTATCAAGGCTGGAGACGAATTGAAAATCAGCTATATCCGAGTTGGAGATAGAAATTATAGTAATAGAAGAGGTGAATTGGAAACAAAATGGCGATTTAAATGTACATGTACTAGATGTATGGAAGAAGCGGGAGAAGTTGGTAGATCTGCTTGAAATGTAGCAATTTTGACTTTACATTATAAACCAAACAACATATTAAGATTACAATTTTGTAAATGTTGGAAGAATTTAATAACATTATAATAATTGCTTGAAATTACCCGGAAAAAAAAAAAAAAGATAAAAAAAAAATTTTAGAAAATTAAATTAAAAAGAGATTAGAATTTTTTTTTTATATATATATAAATATATATATAGGTAAAGAAGCAAATTCAAGTTAGTAATTAACAGAATTAACAAAATCATTAAAACAAAATTATCATCAATTCTTTAGTAAAATAAAACTAAATACATTGTAATATTACATTTTAAATATTGGATCAAATAAGTGCGAATTAAATAATTTCTCAGGTACTTCTATTCTCGCGTTTTATTTATTTTAAGTCGTTAAACTTTAGAGTAAATGCAGATTGAATAACGCCATCTTATGTATGTTAAATATTTAATATTTAAACGAGAATAATGGAATAAAGGATATGGTTTCTAGGCGTTTAATGAAGTACAAAGTTTAAGAAATGACTCGCGATAAAAAAACCAACAAAAATTTTCGTTCAAAACAAAAAGAGCGTGAAAACCATGAATCATAAATATCCAATCGAGTAAAAAATAAAGGCTTATAAAAAAATATCTAAATATCCAAGTAAAAAAATTTTTTTTATAAATTCAATTGGATGAAAAAAAAAAAGTATATAAATGAAAAACTTTACCTGTATTATTACTAATTGCCTTTCCATTATAACTCTTCGGGGTAAAAAAGAAAACGCGTTAAATTTAACGCGTTTCCTTAATTCAATTCATCAATAGTGAATTCATCAAAATACAATTTAGAATTGGACTTTCTATTTTCATGTTTTGTGTTAAGGTTCGAATTATCAACGATATATTGAAGATATTCTTGATAAGTAATAATACATTTTACGCTCTGATAGCGCGTAAGTACTATACGACTTCGAATCCTATCCGTGATTCGACCATTGAAGCCGCTCTTGCGAAGACAAGAATCGATAGTTTCTTCTTTGGTCCAGCCTAAAGCAATGAATACATATAGCTACATTATTTCATCTAAATTTGTGTAATAAATTTAATATACCTTGCTCTTCGGCAACCTCAGGTAAAAAAGTAGCAGTTCTACGACGGTTATGATCATCAACGAACTCAATCCAAATACCATGGACACCGATCTAAATAAAAATCGATCTTTTTATCTTTTCTGCTGTGAACCCCTATAAAAGAATATAGTTTTTTTTTTTTACCTCCCAGTCAAGATAATCTTCGGCGTCCTCAAAGTTTGTCAACAATGATACCCTGATATTATTAAGAACTTAATAAATCCATTTATTATAAGCATAACATAATATAAAATAGTTAAGAAACTAACCCGCAAGTGAGATGGGACAGTTCTCGGGTAGTGATGGGCGAAAACCTCCTATCGTGAATCGCACTTATGAAATGATAGTAAAAATGGAACAGTACCCAAATCCAATTCAAGTGGGATATAAAGTATAAGTAATAGATTCAAAGGACCAAACATACTTTAATAAATTAAACGTTCTCATTTATATTTCATATATTACAATCAACATTAATTTCCTTTAAAATTCAACATTTAATCAAGGACTATATTAAATAAAAGATTTTGATATCGAAATAGTATAAATTACCTAGTAATAGCATATTCTTTCAATCCAGAATGAAGAGATAAAGGTTCAAAATTACCAATGCAACCACGCAGACGAGTTTGCCCATGATGGACAATATTCCAAGTGACAAAAAGCGGACTTTTATATTATGGATAAAGGGTAGTTATTCAAGTTTTATAATAGGGCATCGCACTTGCATTGAATGCCAAAAAAGAATAATTTCTAAATGTGGCAAAAGGCAAATTGCAAACTAAATCTTAACTTACAACTGGAGGTTCTCGAATTCTGGTTCCAAAGGCTTCCTTCCTTCAAGGTAAGCGACAAGAACATCAAAACAATAAATACAATGTTCAATACTGGTAACCATTTCTACAGGGCTTTTTGAACAAAGCCTATTTTGGCTTCACGAAAGTTAAGTATAATGAGACTATTGAAAAGCTCGGACGCTGCTGTGCGCTTCTAAACGTGACGCCAAAAGTAATAAGTGTTATTTCGCGGGATAATTGTGATATAACAACAGCGAACGAGCGAGCTTTACGAGATATTGCGAATGATTTGCTTGAAAAACGTGAAAACAAGGAGAAGGTGTAACTAATGATGCTTCTACATATGGATTTATAGTTGAATTGATCCCCGAGGCGATACTCGATAGGTAGTTTTAGGAATCCACGTGTATATATAGAAATAAAGATCACATGAATACAAACACTGCTTGTTAGAAATCGATTTATTTCTGGCGCAGCGATTTCATTTTCTTATTATGGTTTAGATAAGAAAAAGAAATCAATTTTAATTTAAATATAATTATGCAAGGTGTCCCGATGCCCGCCCGCTCAATTATTGAGTCGATGCTGATTGACTTTTGTAATTGCACGAAAGTCAAATAACCATTGAAAATTTTTTTTGTTAAGATCGTTCCGGACTTAACAACGGTTTCCGTTGAAACTAAATAATGTGTCATAGATAATCAATTAAAAATAAATTTATTTACTCCCTATTAAAAAATTTTTAGTTGTTATACCGCATTTTTACTGCCGATCATTGATTTCATCGATTTTCGATGTTGGTAGAACCTTTTTATTTTCAACAATGTTTCGTTTATTTCTCCTAATTTCATTATTAGTCTTATTAAATAAAGTAGAATCGATATCCCGACATAGACATACTTTTTTTTTTGAGAATAATGCTCTTGACGCGTTCACAGAGGATACAATACAAATTCTCGGAAAACATTCTGTAAGAGTTGGAAATTTTACAGGAATACGGGAGTGGAAGGTTAAAACAACGCCCGAAGAACTTATAAAGGTAGTAAAAGGCTACTATTCTCTAGCTTTAAGTTCAAGTGACAATATGGTTGCCCTTCTTTCTTTGACGGCCAGTTACTGGAATATTATCTTTTAATAGTCAGTAACACCACTGGAGTTTCCCGCTTGGGGTAAAAATTGGACATTACGCGTTCAAATCGCGTCGGGAACACAAGCCCCTTTTTATCCCTTCAATACCGCTCCTGTACCTGGAATTCATATTGGTATCTCTTTAGATAACAAAACATTTGCTGAAAGGTAATTTATAACGTGTTTATGCATTTTCGATTCAAAAGAATTTAACCTCATAAGATGTTTAGGTTAGACTATAAGAATGCGGATTTTTTGGTCGTATGCAGATACATTGAAGCATTGCTTGGCGAAGTACAATGTGATAATGAACAATCATTGAACCGTATGGTATGTTTAAAAATACAATAAAATTTTTAAAAAATAGAGATGTTGGGAGCTGAAAATTTTCTCTTTGTTCCCAAAAAGCACAATATAGATCTTTCGAATTCGATTTCCCTTCCTGGTGGAAATATTTATTATTATTCACCAATCCCACTTAATCAAATACCTAGTCCAACTTCTATATTAGGTAGAGAGTCATATTCTAAAGAGCATCGTCGCCCGGTCATAATAGATCTTCATTTAAACTTTGATAAAAAGTCAAACCAAACTAAGGCAGATTTAAGAATGATTTGGAAGTATCGAAATCAAAATATAGAAGTTTATAATCAGGATAATCAGGAAAATAAAGTTGAACTGGGAGTTTTCGGTCCACCATTAGATTCAGATTCCTTTATTGGACCAAGAATTGTATTTGGAGATAGTAATAATCCTAGTGCGTATTAAATTTATATTTATATGAGTTCTGTTTCAGGGTTGTAAAATTATCGGTAACTGTTATAGTAAAAGTTTACTTTGGTATAATTTTACAACCCTAGCTATAAATTTCCTATTTTGTTAATGTTGATTGTATTCAATAGAACCAACAATGTTAAGTGTATTCTCAAGAACACTTGTAGATTCATTTTTTAATTCAAGCATATCTCCCTCTCAAAGTTTTCATCCACATTTTAATACATTAATTAAATATCTCACAATTGAAGATAAGTGTAAAGATTACATACTTTATACATTACCAAATTCTTTTTTTGTAGATATATACCAACTTAAGGATATGTTCTCAGATGAGCAAATTAAAGTTTGGGGAGAAACGGATTTGGAAAGTCCTGTTGGAATGACTTCATTAAAATGGGGTAGCTTAGTTTTAATTACGAAACAAAATTCGGGGGATGTTGACCATTTTGAATTCAATTTACCACTTCACATGAGATATCAACCAGCCATTTCTGGAAATAAACAAAAAAATCATGTATTCACGACAGCACCTTGGCCGTTTGTTATACGAGTTTGTGAAAATGATGCGCCAGGTATTTTTAAAATTCTAAAGAAATTGATCTATTAAAATTAATCTCTCTAATATTTTCCCCCTTTTTTTTTGAGCAGAACCATTATTTGCGCCTACACCACTTCCGTTATCTCTCTTATTTCCATCAACATCAGAGATAAAATATATTTTTCCAAAACAAGAATTTTTACAACATAATTTTTGGCCAAAAGTAGTAGTTGGGATTCCTGTAGGCCAATTAAGTTATTTAAAACTCGTTGAATGGTGGACAGTTTTAATGTCCTTAATCAGCTGTGTTTGGGTTATATGGACTATTAAAAATAAAGTTCAATGGAAATATGAAGGAAATAATAACAAAATTGATTAAATTGGTTTGGAATATTTCTCTTTTAATTCCTCTCCATCGCACATTAGATTACATCTCTTTCTCATGATATGATCTCCTTTAATATCCTTAATAAGTTTCATTTCTATATTCATCTGATCACCTTTTAGTATTATAATTTATCTTTAATAAATAAATAATATATTTTAATTTTAGATGTTTTAGTAATTTGGTTATATAAATAACATGTAATATTTATTAAAATTTAAATATTTATAGTTAGATGCTTGATTTGTTTAGGATTAGCAAAATAGCTTTTGGTTAATTGAATCAGTTTATCATTAATTAAATTTATTGCTTTTAAAAAAGTTTTAAAATATTTTCTTTAAAGATTTAAAGAAAAAATTCTATAAAAAAATATTTAGATCAAAAGAAGATGCTTTAAAATCTTATTTAAATCAGTCTTATTAAAAAATTTAGATTAATATAAATTATTTTTTTATTTTACTTATTTATTAGTAAATATTTTTAATATTTTTAAAATCAATAAAATAAATTCTAAGATAATTTTGTAAAAAAAAAATAATAGCATTAAAAATCTTTTAATTTACTAAATAAATTTATTATGTCAATTAATTAATTTAGATAAATATAATTAAAATAAATATTTTTAAAAAAATTATACAATCAACTCTTGATATAGTGAATTCTTGATATAATGAATTTTTTATAAAAATATTCTTATTATAACGAATTGGCCAATCAAATCTCTTAAAATCTTCATTATAGCCTTATAGCAAAGTTAAAGTCTAGGACATAGAGTTCGTTATAACAAGAGTTGACTGTATATGTTTTAATATATTATCATTGGATTTAGTTTCAATATCTTGATGTCTAAGTCAGAGAAACTGTAACAATTATTTTACTTGTTAGAATTTATAACCTTAGAATATTCTTTAGGTTCTATAAGGGCAGTGACATATATTACCTAATATCATTTAATTATAAGATTATGTGCATAAAAATTATTTCTTTTTATAGAATTCATATATCAGTTATAGAGTCATAGTAAAATATATCGAAAAATAAAATTATAATAAATTAAAAATTTTATTGTAAATAAAATATTTAAATAAAAAATTTTCAAGTATTCTAAAATCCTAAATTCCAAAATCATTCAAAATCTGTTTTAAAATTGAAAAATTATGCAAACTCGTATTCTAAAAATCACATTTTAGAAAATTGTATTATAAATCACATTCTAAAATCATGTTCTAAAAATCATGTTCTAAAAATCATATTCTAAAAAATTGTGTTCTAAAAAATTAGTTCAAAACCTTTTTATAAAACAAGCAAGTCAATATTCTACTTCTAGTATTAAAATGAATCACCAGACCTTCTTATTTAGCCCTAAGTTTAATAAGAAACTGATTTATAATTCATCATCAAATAAGTATCAAGAATTCACCAAATGCTTATGTGTACAGTATTATGATTAAAACTAGAAATGGTATCTCTAACCGAAATGATATTTGTCGTAAAGTTACAAAAGAATAGAATAAAATTAAAAGCAAAAGTAAATTAGAAATTGATGAGATAATTAAGAATTACCTGATCACGCTATATAACCTATATGACATACAGACAATGAGACCAAGGTGTCTTATATCTAAAGAAGATTCAACTCCTCCTAGTCCTTCTATTATTCGTACAGTAGATCCTGTAGTAGAAATTTCTGTTAATGGATCTGTTCAAAGAAAGGCAGCAAATAAGATATCAATAGCAAAAAAAAACTTATTGAATTTGAGCAAATCTATAACATCGCAATAGATTTCAAATTCGTCATGATATATATGCAAGAATAGTGAATCTTCGAGATGAAATCAAATCTAATAGGAAAAGAATTGTTAAATTAAAAAGAAATGCAAATTATGCTCAAAAATGCAAAGAAAAAAAAAGAAAACTACTTATTGAAAATCAGGAGGTGATACTATATGATAAATTCAGTCATTCTTTACTTTTTTGCAAATATCCAAATTTGCATGATCATATTCATAATTCAATCAAGTTTAAAACAGCTGATGAAAAATGATGAAAAGAAGTGGTTAAAGTACAGATCATTGAAAATTTACGTAAGAACCTTAAAGAGAATTATAATGTCTATATGACGTGAATAATATTGAATAATTACCTACTGCCTCATCAATCCAATTCCATTGCTATAAAGTACACCATTATTCAGCGTATATTGTAATAGCCACAGTTTTACGTACTGAGATACAAGACTATTCTGATAGTTACTACTGTCTTGCGTTTATTAAATACGCAAGACAGTTTACCACTACCTTTGCTAATAAGTCTGTTATCATTTCTCAAGATGACAAGGTGAAGATAGGTCTTAGGATACCTGCTGTAGGTCAGACATTTCACATATTACAGTCAATTCACAAATCTGTTCGTGTGGCTGACCATGATTTTCTTGCAAAAAGTGAGCAAAAGTTAGTTACATCAGTTTATCTTATGATTAAACTAAATGAATTAAATGATAAATTACGAACTGGATAGCTTGCTATTTTTGTACGTCAGCAATAGTCCCTTAGTATATCTTCAATCACACATATGCAAGATCTTGAAAGGCTTACTTTAGATTCTCAATATAATGATATATTAAAGATCAACGGAGAAATTTGATCTATCTAGATGTTACTAGTAAATGAAGGACCAAATGAAAATCTAAGGCATCTAAAAAATATTAAAATGTACTGTCAACTTTTTCGAAAGTTTGATTTAGATTACTTGACAGTACAAATATATACTCTAGAATATTCTAAATATAATCCTGTTGAAAGGAAAATGGTAACACTATCTGAAAAGTTAGTAGGCATCATATTACTGATTAATCACTTTTGAATACACTTAAATATATAAGGAAAAGTGATCAATCCAGAATTGGCTCTTCAAAACTTTTGATATACTGAAGAGAAACTTTGCAAAATTTAGCATCACAACTTGATTTTGGGAGAAGCGTGAATGCACAGTATGTTAAAAAACTTGCTAATCTATTTGAAGATCTGCAGTTTAAAGATACAGATAAAGAAAAAGAAGAAGAACAGAAATGACAAAAAAGAAAACAAGAGAAAGGAAATGACTTACCAGAATGTTTTGTGCTATAGACATGAATTAAAAAGCACTGTAATCTCTGTTAATATTCTCTTAATGTTAAATAATATATAAACACAAAATGTTATAGACTATCTTGTATAAAAGAAACCACAGAATTTCTTCTTTTGAATATTGATTTTTTACCTCCAGTCATGAAAGCTAGAAACAGACATTTTGCAAATCCTATACATCTTCTTGAGTATTATGATCTGTTGAAAATTTCTAGATACGATTCACCTTGCCCTTCCCTTAATCAAACAACTTATTCGTGACTTTATTACTCTGAGTGTAATAAATACTTTCCAACTCTTAGTTATTTGATAAATCATAAACAAACAATGCATCCTGCAAGTTATAAACAGCCTAAAAGAAAGTCTAAAGAAAAAAATTCAAGAATTCTTAACAACTTCTTTCTTCTTCCATCACAACAGAAGTAGCTTCTTTTTAATAAAGTATATTTAAGAGATTATATATCAGACAAAGAATGCATATAATCAGTTATAGCATTTATATATGCATTTTATATATGCATGTAGTCAATTATAAATACAAAAATAAATAAAATAAATATCAAATACAATATTGAGTATAAGCTATATCATATGACCAATCATATTATGTGTAACTTAAGATTTTTTATTACCCTCCTACCTCCTAAAATATTAGGTAATATATGTTATTACCCTATATATCTGATATACTTTAAATTAATTCTATGATTTATATATCTTAGAATTTAAGATTTATTTAATTAAACTTAATAATAGATTTAAAAGTAAATTAATATAAAGTATTATAATTAAATCCCAAATGAAAGATAATATTAAAGAGAAAAAGTAAATTGTAATTTTAAATTAATTTTATTATTAATAATTTGAAACTTATAAAATAATAATTTATAACTTAAGTAAAATGTTAACAAAATTAGTTTATTATAATTAACTATTACATTACATTATAAATTAACTATAATATATATTCTAAATTAAATGTTTTTTAAAAATATAAATAGATAAATATAATTAATTTTTTTTAATAGTTTTGTTCATTTTAAGCATTATTACTAATAGTGCAAAAATTTGGCATATATATAGCTAGAAATTTATTAGATAAATTAAATAGCTAGAGTTTTATCTATATATACTAATATCAAATAAATATAATAGTATTGTTAATAAGTAATAATAAATGAAAATAATAAATTGTATATATAATTGAATATTTAATTTATGATCAATAGACATTAATACAATGGATTGATTGATATTAAAATATTAAATTTATAGAAATCAGTAAAATAATAGGCTAAAATAAGTATTAATAAAACTGATCTGATATGTATCTATTGTTTTTCAAATTTCATTTTAATTAATATCTGATTGTTTCCTATTTCTGTCATTATCTATTATCAATCTAAATGCCTGATTAAAATCTGATAAAAAAAATCAGAATCAAATAGCATAAAAATTAAATGAATGATTTTTATCTTATTAGATTTCGATTTGGTAATATTTAACTTGTATTAAAAATTTTCAATATATAAAATACAAAATATATTTTAAAAGTATTCATAATTGAATATATATAATACAACTGTATTCAATTATATATATTATTCTAATTTAAAACTATTTTATTATCAAGTTTATTTCATTTGTATTCTTATCAAAAATCTTTGTGACTAGAAAGATATTAATAAATTTAATCATTATTTTAGTTGCTATTTTACATTTTTTAGAATTAAAGCTTTTTAAATATAGGTTTAAAAATATTACCTATTTTACTACAATAAAATTTTAAAATATAATAAAATAACTTATTTTTGTAGTTAATTACTTAATTCTAATAATACTAATATAAGCAAAAGTAAAACAAAAATA